CAGTGGCGGGAACGGAAAGCTCATCATGGGAAATGGAGCTTGCGTGCGTTCGCAAGTTTCGACTTTTTGAGAGCCGCGTCAGACACGTGATAGATGTCGCGCTTACTATTTTGCAACCCGCGAGACTGTGGCTCCTCTCGTTTGTCCTTCCAAGTTGATCAGAAATGGGGATGTTTTTGTTTTTGTTTTTTTTCTCCTCATCCTTATCAGAGTTGACTGACTTGATTTTCCTGTGACGCTTGCCCGGCACAAAAACAAATGACCTAGCGCCTTCATGGGTTTAGTCATTATTTAAATGCCTTCACTGACTGTTTGTGACGTCAACCGCGGATCTCGTCCGGGAATCCAGAGTTCCATCAACGGCTTGAAAACTGGCCGTGCCGGCCTGCGTGCCTTCCTTGAACGGTGGCCATCACCCGACCGCGCCTCCCCGAGTTCACACGCGCGCTCCAACATTTGCCGAGCTTGTTACGGGAGGCCGGCGGAGTCGAGTGCGGCTCGCCGTGTCTTCCGTGCGTCGCTGTGCAGAAGCCAAGTGCTCAGGTCACCGTTTTGCCTTTGCCAAAGGGCTAATGTTTTGCTTTAAAGCGCCAGAAAATGGCTTCACCCCTTTCCAAGTTCATGGAGGGGACAATGCCTTCCTGATCATTTGACCGACTTCAAGTGGTATTTTTTTTTTTTTTTAAGTTTTCAAGGCTAGACATACACAAACATGATGATAACGACATTATTTTGCATGCATTGTTTTTGTTTGTGTGTTCAAGTGACACTTTTTTTGTAAAAAGCGTGTCTTCGGTTAAAATGCGGGTGGAAAGGAGAAAATGGTATTGAGGGTCTTTGCCTATTTTGCTGGTATGAATTGCTTAACATTCACATGTGACGTGTGAATTAGTGATGAGCAAATATTGACTGGAAATGAGGTGAAAATGTGATCCGAGAAGCCTCCAATCTCCCACGTTTACCTGGCTGCCCTTTTTTTTTTTTTTTTTAATCGACTTCCTGCTGGCGCTGGCATTCTCTTCCCGCTAGAATTGATGGCGGTGGTTTTGTGCGTGTTTGGGAGAAGGGCGGGCGGGGAGGCAAGCGCAATCTCTGCGGCGTAGAGTGGCGGGCCCCCAGCATCACCCACTTTTAATTGCCACCTCCATCTGTCAGCTGTCACGGCCGCAGGTTGCGCCGTGCGGTGGCCTTGCTCGTATTCTTTCTGGCTGCTGCGTGTATTGTCTATCGGCGTGTCATCGGCTCTTTGGTTTGGATTTATTCCTTTTTGAAATGTAAAAAAAACATTTCAATAACTCTTGGAGGACCGTCAGTGATGTTCTCGTCCGGCCAAACTACTTCTCCGGACGACCTGGCGACCCAGTGTCTTGCATTACAGGCTCTCTCTCAAGCTGCGTTGGGTTTCTTGGCCTTCTTTTGAACGCAAAAAGGAAAGTTTTTTTTTTATTTTATTTTTTTGAAATTACGACGTGATTTGCACTTTCACCTGCCAGCCAGCCTGCCATTTTTTTTTTTTGACAGCCTCTTCCTCTCCCAAACCTGCCGACAGATCACGCCGGACCCGTTTTGACCGGCGCGTCCCCCTTCTCCCTCCCAGCCTATTTATTTGTGTTACCTCGCGTTCTTGGTTGAGGTTCTCAAGCTTCTCGCGTGTGCACACCGACTTCCAAAAGCCAAAGGGTGTGCGGGGAGATAGAGCTGGTAGAGCAATAAATAACCAAATGTTATCAGAGGAGCGCTGAAGGAAGAGGATGCAGCTGTACGAACAGGACCCGAGGCGGACGAGCGTGTGCGCTCCGCCAGTCTTTGAGGCCGGGGACTCCAGAGTGCCGGGAGTCTGGAGGCGTGGCCCCGCGTTTATTTTTCTTTGCCGTTTCGTCCCCCGGAGACAGAAGCAAAGCTTCCCTTTCTTCAGATTTGCGGCGCTTTTAATAGCCTCAGGGGGTGCATCACTTCAGTTCTGCCCCGCCCCCTAAATCTGCGTTATTAATTTTGGGATGCGCCGATGTCAGTCTTTTTCACATCACAGTTTATTCCCTCCCGCGGAGAAAAAAAAACAAGCAGCCCTTTTGTTTATCAGGGCCTGCAAAGTTGAAAGGTCATGGCAAGCTTAAGTACACAATGTTTTTTCGATTAAATATGTTTTAAAAAAAACATGTATTGTGTTCTTTCAGGGAAGGACCTCTCGTCTCGAAGTTCAACGGACCTCAATTGTATCTTTGGAAGGAGAGCAAAATCTGCCACACATCCAGAGCAGGTATGACACACCCATGCTTTTCATCGAGAACGTTGGCTTACTTGGATTCAAAAATTAAGACCTTCGCTTAAGTTCCGCCTCTCACCGAGCAGTTCCCCTAAACCCAAGTGAACGGTGGCGCAGCGTGCTGGGTTCACCGGCTTGTTTTTGGGTTGCTGTGGCGACGCCGAGTGAGCCATCCAGAGTCTGTTCTCAGCTGGCCGGCTTTACATTTACATGGTTCTAGTTGCATTATTCCAATCGACATATATAGTGATGTAGATTTTTTTAAAAAAGAGAGAGAAAGACAGATTTTTTTTTTTTTTTGCTCGCCTGAGATCAATTGGTCGAACTGAGACGACAACACGCTTTGAAGTCAAAGAACGACTGTGCCTGAAAGTAGCCATTCCTCATTTGGTCCCCGATCTTTGCTGACACAAAATGGCGCCCCTTTTTCCACCTGGCCTGAGCTGAGGCGCAGCGATGGCGGTCATTACCGGCGATGACCACCGGCGCCGAGTTTGCCGCGCTCAGCAATTTCCCCCGGTGAGCCGGCCCGTGGCCCGAGACCAGGCCGGTCACAGCGTGCGGCTTTTAACGTGGCCATCAGCGGGGCGCTGATGGGCGGCCACAGCGCCCAAATCCACTTAAAGGATTTGCACTCTGAACCGCCAACGCCCACCCTCGGCCGTCACGCTCGTGTCTCGCGGGCCCCTCCTCGGGTGCGCCGTGATTAAAGTCTGATGAAAGTGGTCCAGTTGTGCAAGAAAAGTCCAAATGCTTGCAAAAGACTTGCTCTGTCTGCTCCCGGCACTTTGGAAAGTTTGAAGGTGGCTCTTTTTGCACATCCATCCAAAGTCAAACATTTTCTCTATAGGAATCGGTGGGTAACCATCTACACGAGGAAACTCATCATATGCTGGACTAAACAAAATAACAAACGAGTAAGCGTCCTATTTTTGAAGCGCAATATTGCACCTTGTGGTTCAAAATAGGAATTAAGAATCCTGAATCGTTAACACTCGTCGCCGTCACAATGCCTCCGTCGTCCTGCCAGGTCTTGGGGATTTTGAACCGCGTTTGCAGCTTTTTTTTTTTTTTTTTTCATTTTGTTTTGCTATTTTCAGACTTGACCGAGGTGGGGAAAACAAAATTCCGCAAGTCAGTTAACAACAGGCCCAGGAGCTTTAACCTCCACCAAAATGTCATGCCCTCTCGCTTGGAAAGTGATCCACCTCTCCACAAACTTTCAGGTTGTTTCTTTAGCATCAACAATTAAAAAAAAAAATTTAAAAAAAAGTGACCTGTATTTAGCTGCACACTAAGCCCCTGCAAAAACATGACAGGTTCCCGGGATGTCGACGGATCCACGGGAACCATGACACAAAATGTTTTTTTTTTGTTTTTGTTATCTCCAACAATTGTCTTGAAGAAATTGGCATCGGAAAATCCCCAAATGTGATTTGAGGGGCGCAACAAAAAAACAAAACAAAACAAAAGCCTCGCAGGTGTCGAGCCCGTGCATCACAATGGCCGCCGCTCCCCGGCTGATTACCATTGGAAACGTTCGCTCCCTAATCGCTTGGTTATGGCTTGTTATTTTTCAGCCAGGGGGGACGCCATTGACCATATCGGAGAGAAAAAAAAAAAAAATCTGCACAATTACAATGGCGTCCCGCGAGGTCTTGTGTCTCGGGCTGGCAGTGAGCGACGACCTGCTGGTGGATTGACAAAATTGAAAATACTTTTGCCATCCCCGTCCGCAACCGATATCGCGCATCCAGACGAGGCGAGGCCTGGAGACGCGAGCGAATCTGGGTCGAATCGGAATCTTCACCCCGCTGCCGCCCACTGCCGTCCGTCATGCTCCGGCCTCCCGTCCACTCGCCTACCGCTGGGCGCTTTTCCTTCCTCTGCAGCGATGTGCTTCCTGCCAGCCTCTTATCACTGCTCGCAACGCCCACACACACACACACACACACACACATGGCTCTGTTCATCAAAGGAAAGATGGACTGGACTGTTCACGTCAGGTACACCTGAGATCCTGCAAAAAAATCTGCCGTGACAACAACAACAGTGCTCAATTTTAATGGCGGGGAACCATTTTTAGTGCGGTGGGATACGTTTCAGACTCACTCATGATTGGTGAAAATCGGCAATCTGGAGAGACCACAAAAACATGCCTACTAAATTTAAAATTTGCAAAGAAGAATCAAAATGGAGAAACATTTGTCAGCGCCATCGAAAAGAGAATCGCTCTAAACCAAACCATGGCCAACCCTCCGGGAATTCGGACGCACTCCAGCACTTGCGAATGGCCAATCGGGAGCCCAAATGTGTTCGAGCGTACCCGTAGTGAGTGCAAAGCCGTGCTCGTCTTCCACGTTGCCGCGTGCAGCAAACGTCTGACATCATTTCCAGTCCGCGACCAGTCAGGCTGGCGGTGAAGCATCTGCCCATCTGCGCGGCGGCGCTATCCATCATCCGTCCCACGCACTCAAGCCTCCCCCTCCCGCCTCCTCACGCCCGCCCCAACGCAATTACTCACGGCGTGACAAACGACAGGCCGGCCAGGTTTCAAAGAGAGGCGGCCGCTTTTTAGATGAAGGCGCTTCGGCAGTCCCCAACCCCCCCCC